GGCGGCTCCCTCGCCGGACACTACGTGCGCGCCGGGGCCTTGGCAATGGCCCGCGGAGCCCGGCCGCGGGGTTCGGCCCGGCAGGCGCAGGGCCCTCTCTGTGGGGGCCCCAGGAACCGCGGGCGCCTCAGCTTCCTGATCCGGCGGGGCGCTTGCCGGGTTTTCTCCAGCGCAGCCTGGAGAAGAAAAGAAAGAAAAGAAAACGGCGATCAAAACTTGGGAGGGGGAAGCTGATTTGCTGCTGTTTTTCTTGTGCAGATACCAGGTCTGTTGCTACTCAGACTTGGAAACTTGTTTCCTTTTCCCTTTTGAGGAGAAAAGTCTCCAAAAGTAACCAGCTCTACAGATAAGGATCTTAAAGTTTTCTGGAAAGGGTGTTTATTGTTACTTTATAACTGGTTCAGTCGGAGAACTTCGGCGAACGCCTTTTTGGAATCTGCTGCCTCGGGAAGGCCCGCAGCCTGGAGTGGACTTGCTTCCTGTGGCGCTGACCGTTCTAGAACTTTTCCCCCCAGTGCACGGGAAATACAAACTTCTAAGGCAGTTTCTGTGGTATTGTCTTCGTCGACATGTAATTGGATGTTTCAGAAGCCAAGCGGAGTATAGGGAGCGATCAGCCCGAGCTAGGAGGGAGGCTCGCCGGGACATGCGCCCCACTTGGGCCGCGGAGGAAACCCGGGAGAGCCTGGCCGGGCCGGGCGATTTACGGTTGTGTCGTTGGTAAAGCCCCTCTCCCTTGGTATTCGGAAGGAAGCGACTTGGAGTTTGAGAGTTAAATGGATAAAGAATAGTAGGCTATCGTTGGGTTCCAACATCTGCTTCTCTTTTCCTTATTATGAAAGTTAACATTATTTTAACACCAAAATAAATACATCGGGTATGAAGAAAAAGCACAGCAAAATGTGTGCTGTGTCGAGCGAGTTGCTTGCCTCCTGGTGGTTTCCGCGGTGTAAACAGCACACACATCTGGGCTGACTTGCAAAGGGTGTTTGGAGATGGGCAGAACTCGGACCCGGGTTTTTTTTTTCTTTTTTCTTGGGTAAGAAGAGTAGGGCCACTTGCGGCTCTCGTAAATCCAGCGCGCTGAGAAGATTGGTTTTGAAGGTCTCAGCCCCTCAGCATTCCAGGGAAGGCATTTGGAAAATGGAATGCACGGTTGGTAGGCAACGAGATTCATTCAGGGCACAGACAGCTTCCTACCGCTTGCAGATCTGGGACAAGTGAATCAATCGTGTGACCCGTTAGCTTGAAAAATGAAGGTGTAGATGGTTCTTTTTATTTTCCAGGTCAGGTTTAAACCATTGGCCTTAATTGCTGCAGACACAGTTCCCCCTGGAAGGGACCATGTGACCTCGCTGCCTTTGTTCACTCTTTCTAGCAACTTCCCTGCAAGTGGGTCTTGTTGGCCAGTTACCTGCAGCAGCCCAGGTCTCCCTGAATCTCACTTGAGAACCCTCTCTCAATGCTATTTACTTCACGGTTCAGGGACAGAACCCAGAGCCTTGAGCTTGCTGAGCACCCTGGTGAGCTGCCCCCCAACAGAGCTGACCTGACTTGAGCTCATTTAATCGATTGAGGTGAGGATGCCCTGGTACCCTGTGGCCTGCAGGCGGAACTGGAGGGAACAAGGCATGGACAGACGCCCTGAGCAGGGCTGGAGTGGGAGAGGCCAGACCCAGGCTGGGAAGGCTGGGGGTTGACTGACTGCTGGACGCTGCTTGCTTCACGATAACCAGTGGATTATTGGGGGTTCGATGCTTTTGTTTGGGGACCTTATGGTCATTCACCCGTCCTCACCCCGCTGAGTGTTTCTATGGTTTCTGTTAGAAGCCCACTTTTCTCTTGTTGCCCCAAAAAAGTCATAGGCCGAACCCAGCCCTGGTTGCTTTTGAACACTGAGTGAGCTTTTGGGAGCCTCCTGAAGGCAGGACCTGTGTCCTGCTGCTCCCTGGGTCCTGGCTGGGCTCTGGAAGTGGCTTGGCAGGGAGGTGGAGGTCGGAGGTCAACTCCCAAACAACCACCAGAAGATAAATCCGCCTCCCTCCAATGGCAGCTGTGTCTGCTCGTGTATAATTTAGCACTTAATTATAGACTGCCTTGTCTTCTCTAATTACCTGATCACCTCGGGCTTTGCAAGGCCTCAGACATCATCTGATAGCTTTGCCTTGTTTTCGGGAGGAACCATGTCCGGAGCTGCTGTTCTGTTCTGGTTTATCCAGAGTTGGATGTAGAGTTGAGCTGAGGCAGGAGCACAGGGATTGGACTGTTCCGCTTCTGTCACCTGCACCTCTCCAGATGCCTGTATGTCTGTCTCCTTCACAAATCCTGCCTCTGGATGCTGGGACCTGCACAGCCACTTACAGGGACAATAATGACACCTAAGGTAGCCTCTGGCCCCTGACAGCCATTGTTGGACCAAGTTCCGATGTGGCTGGATAGTCTGAAAGAGCGTACCTGTTGCTGACTGCTCTCTCTGCTCCTTGGGGTCCCCAGGAGGAGGCCCAGATAATGACCTGGGGCCAAATCTGAGGTGCCGAGGGCTGTGACCGGAAGCTGTTGTTACTGACACTTTAATTATGGGTTCCTAGCTATCACAAGAGTGTGACTTGGTAGAGGGGCCTTCTTCATAGGCAGTGGTGTGGTTTATGTGGGGAGAAAGTAAGAATCAAGTGCGTATTGCGACCATCTAGCTGGATCCAGTCGCGGTCCGTGTCACCAGTGCCTGTGTCCACAGGTGGGGCGGAGACCCAGAGCCAGGGCTTCTCTTTTGTTCCTGCCTGCCACCTGGGTGTGGGAGGGAAACTGTGGGAGGAGCTGAGTGGAGGAAACAGCCCAGGTGAGGCCAGGCCTCTTCTGGTGGCTCCCTCTGCTGACAGGGGGTGACGGGAGGTGGAGCCCACAGAGTGGCGATGGGGCCGCCTCCTGCCCAGTGCCCGCCCCTCCGCCCCTTTGGGGCGGGTTGTTCGCTTAGCCCTGCATTCCCCTGGCTCCTGCTGAAGCAGATTTCTCTCCTTTCCTTCCTCTTGCGGTCTCTTGGACTCCCTGGCCTTCTCTTGTGGGGTGCCGGGGTGTGTTGCAGCCGCAAAGGTGCCGAGCACCCCGCTCAGGCTGTGAGGAGACCCTGGGCCCTGGCTGCCGCTCTGTTCCTGCCGGCTGCAAGGGTGCTGCAGAAAGCTGGATCCTGTGGTGGAGAAATTCAATCCAGATGGAGCATTCGCATGCACACAGATGTATAAAAACAGATTGGCGGGGAATGTCGCTGGCTCCCTCTGCTTCCTCCCTGTGTGTTTAATGCTTATTAATGATGATTTGTAGTTAATGGTATTTATGGGTCACATATTTAGCTCATGGTAATTATTGCGTGCGCAGTACCCAATAGTCCCCTGTGCCTTCCCTGTCCCTCTTCACCGCGGGTGCTTGCGCTGGTTCCGCTGAGTTCTGAGGACCTCCTTTTGTTTGCTTTGCTATCTTGCCTTCAATCTGCAGGCCCCCCTCCCCCAATTTTGAGGGTTGATTTAATTTCAGACCATTGTATATAGAATGTGTTTTAATTCTGACAATGTGAGTCACCGCTAGTTGAAAGAATGTTTATTTACCCTGGAGAAGATAGAAAATCTGTTCTTCAAACTCTACCTTCCCATGCTCTTAACATTTCACCCTTTGTTTGTAGAGATGTCTGTAAACAGAAGAAACTGAAATACACTGAGTAAGCGAGCAGAAGGACACAGTCCCACCCCTTCTGCTACCCAGCACCCTCACACTCAAACATCTGCGGAATGCCTGTCCGCAGCTGAGGAATGCGCGAGGGCCTCTCCGCTCCCTCTTGGCGTTGTTTGTTATGAAATACAGCATGCACAGAGCAAAGGGAGTTTGCAGTTAAAGAATGAACCACCTTGTCAGTACGGCCAGGTCAGGCCCCATGTGGAGGTGCATCCCAGACCCTTGGGAAGCCGAGGCAGGAGGATTCCCTTGAGTTTGAGACCAGACCAGAATCCTCCCAGTCCCAACAGCTCAAGTTGTAAGCTGTGTAATTCTAAGCAGAGGAGCCCCTCTTGGAGTAGGAATTACCCTGAATGTCATCTTTCTGCCCCTCCCATCCATCCATCCCAGGGATCTCATGCAGGCTGAGCTTGTGCTCTCCATGGAGCTCCAATCCCAGGCCTTTTCCTGTCTTTCTAAGTAAGATGTTATGACTCAGGAGGGAAGCCGCCTACCTTCCATGTGGGGGCGCCTGTCTCCTCCACCTGCTGCTCTGCTGTGTTAGCGGGAGCTCTGGCGGCTCCGCTCTGGACCAGTGGTTACGTGGTGCGTGCGTGGGGCTGTGGGTTCTGTCTCCTTGCCTCCTGCCTGCTTCCTGTGCGCTTTGGACCTGCAGGGCAGGGACTCGCATAGACGCCTACCTCGACTGGGGTCTGTGTGGTGACTTCACTGCCGCTTTAACGAGCCGTGAGTCTTGTTACAAGCTGGCCTTGTTGTGGTGGCAGTTCCTTTGGGTGTTACAGCAGGGACTTTTGGACAGAGAAAAAGCTTAAAGTGTAGCTCCCCTGTGCCAACAATGTCCTGCATTGTAGAGATGGCCGTTGGGGAGCCACAGGTCCTGAGAACAATAGCCTGCATTGTGAAGGACAGCAATTCTCCCTAGGTGCTGCTCTTGATTTTGATTTTCTGTCTGTTTTGCT